CAAAGAATCGCGATAAAATTTAACAGATGTAATCCAGTCTGGAAGAACGTAAATTGCACAATCCTAATCACAATACCGCGGACAATAACTATTTCTTACTAAACTGTTGATGTTTATCGTATTCGTGAACTTATTTACTTTTCTATTAAGTGTTATCTCCAAAATCAACAAGAAACAAGAGAACAAAGTTGTGGTGATCAGTCAATTTATCGGTAAAGTCGTGAAAGTGGCCACCCTGCTTGTAGAAAGTTTAGTAAACTTGCTGCTCGCAGTGTGGACGCGAAAACTTCGCTGTTGCTAGATGAATATGCAAATTGTGTTATACATTATTGTTTGAGCTTCTAGGATTTATATATTTATCTTGTTTACGTAGAATAATTAAGTACGAATAAAGGTAATATGTTTAATAGTGGTTAACTTTTGCTCTTGATGAAATTTAATAAAAGTTTCGATAATGTGCCTGACCTTTATTTGATTGTTTTTAAAGTTTTTGCATTTTAATAGAAGAATAATTGTCTCATAGTCCCAAAATGTTGTGTTTTAAATCTCTACAAACGTCTCTTAACTGAGTGGTGCTCGATGCCGCGGTGTAGAATGTAATCGTGTTACCATCGCAGCACCTTGTACCGTAATTAACCCGCTTTCTAGCCCCCCAGTGCAACAACAGCACGGACGATCGATATCGTAGAAGATTGCTTGTCGTACGATCGCATATCGACATGTTACGTGATAGGAACCCCCTTGGTATAGTTACTATCCCGTTTAAAGTAGTTTAATGATAACTTAAACTTTCTCATCTCACTAGATCTATACTAAAAGATATCCTGAAGAGTCTTAGGGGTTATTCAGTAGGCTTTTTTCCCGATTTATAAGGAGATTTTACTAAATAGATTCTAGGTATACGGAAACTACTACATTAATAAATAACGCAATACATTGAAGGGAATACTATTTATTTACGCTTTTGAATAAAACTTATAGAAACCAAGCTAATTGAAACTGACTGTACGATTCTATGCAATTTAGACACAGTAGGCCAGTGAATGGTAATTCAGAGTGTCGACCGTTGGAAGCGAGCCATCTGATCAGACCAAGAGTATACACGTATACACTACCTGTGACATTTTAGTGTACGAAAAACGTGTCTACAAAAAGGTCAAATCATTACTAAAATTTATGCATTTTAGGTCGCAGACAAATCTTAATTTGTCACTCTGTACTGTTGCCTACAATTCAATTTAAAACCACCAAAATTGCGTTTAGGTTTTCCTTTTTTAAGTAATAAATGCGAATAGTGCTTGCCCTATAATATACCGTAATGCTTATTGTCTCGCGGTGAAAGGGAATTAAACGGTACGCGCGACGTGACGGCGCGTTAGGAAAGGGGAGGGGTGTTACAAAGATATGTTCATGTCACAGTCTATGTCATTTGGGAAATTGGTAGAAAGTTTGTGGACATTAACGTAAATGTAATGTGACGGCACGATCGTAATCTATAATGTTTGACGTTCAATTCAGGTTACAATTTTAATGATATTTGAAATGATTATGTGGAACTTAGAAGTGTGCTAAGGTGGGTTTTTATTGTTAATTTATTAATATAAAGATGTCATAATGTAAAATAACAGCGATAATTAAGCTCTTATCTGTTCTATTTACAAGATAAACCATACTCATCGTTGATCAATACTAAAGGCAATTGAAAGACAACTCTACGAGCCCTTCCTTCGCAATCGATAGCTCAACGACCCTCCTGGCTTCGCTCCCACTGACTCAGTGCATCCAGTTGATATAACGATAAGAGTACGTTACTTAGAGCTAATTGAACGTACCTACAGTACAGAAGATAGGGCTGTCACAACTTTTCATGATGTGATGTAAAAATTTTATAAGGTAGTACTTACGCAACAATTATCATGTTTTGCAGAAAGGTTTGAAAAGATTTTTCTTTTCCTTAATTTATTTCCGTAAAGCCTTTTACGTGTCTTTAGTTTTCTTTTGATTTAAAACATTTTAATTCATCCGACAAGCAAGTAATCAGTGGGTATAGAGTTGCGGTGTGCCCGCGCCCCGCGGCCGCGCCCCGCCGGATGCGATCAATGGCCCTTTCAATTAAAAGTTTCTTCCGGAGCCCGCTTGCAGGCCGCGCCGCGACGCTTTTGTTCCAACAACTTGCTACTCTCTAGTTTTTTTTTTATAAAACCCCTCCCCGACTTAATACATTAAAGAGACCGTCCGACTTTGTTTGAGGTAGACGGTTTATGTAGGTTAAATGTTTTCTAGCTGAATGTAAATCGAGTTGCACCCACTTCTTTGAGGTGCAATAAAGGGATTTTTGATGTCGTTTTATTAGAACTTGTGGCCACTCTGCTTTTACACTTTCATTATTTAATGTGTAATATTAAGTAATAATACAAGAGCGTAGAAGCTGGTGTTTGTGTCTTACAGTTGTGTGAAGAAAAAAATAATGCATTACTCATTTGTTGTTTTGTGACAAATCCATTTATTCCCACTGTTTCAGCTCCAAAAAAGAAGTATTTAACATAAATATGTTTTTGTTTAGAGGTGTAAACTGACGGTAAGTACTTGTCGTAAAAATGTGTTTGAAGGAGGAGATTGTCTATTTACTATTACATCGTTTGTCAATCAATAGTTTCATAAATCATCGCACACATGACACGTCGTTTGTTTACGTTTAAACGACGTGTAAAATCACCTGCCATACTCCGATACATTTATCATAGTAGAACATCTATGTTTGAAGTAATCTGTTATTGGAATTCAAGACAAAGTCTCTTTAGGCACTAATTTTTACAGCCATCAGAATGTATAACAAATCTGGGCTATTAGATAATCTATACTAATATTATAAAGAGGAAAGATTTTTATATGTATTGAACTAACTCAAAAACTACCGGGCCGATTTTATAATTCTTCCACCGTTAGAAAGATTATTTATCTGTGAGTAACATGGGTTATATTTTAATTCACGCGAGCGAAATCACGAGCAACAGCTAGTATAAAATATTTGAATAATATCTGTCACACGGTTTTTGTATAATCTAAATGTTTTTAAGCTATTTGATATATCTAAAATTAAAATTTTCAAGTAATCTGTATAAATTATGTAAATATCGTTGGCTGTCGTAGAACAAGTCGTCCTTGATATTCATTCATCACATGGAAACTAGTCGCCAGCGAGCAATGAATAACAAACGCAGCGATAAATTCGACTGCAATGATGTCGAGTGTACATTCTTATAATTCATACGTTGATTTTAGCGTTGCGTCGCACGAGCAAAGGTTACGTAAGTCGGAATAGTGTGTCTGTTGCCGGGCGGTTTTGAATTTATTTACATTAATGAATGTTTTAAAACTTTTAATTGAAGAATGATAATTTCTTAAGCAATACACTAAATTTTTCACAATTGTTGTGAAATATTGTGTGATTCTATATAGTCTAAAGCGTGTCCTAAGTGTAGGACTTTTTATTAAAGAACTAGCTGTTCCCATGCGACTTCATTCGCATAAAATTATATAAATTTCATTTTACTGTTTACATTTGTCAAATTATCAGTTGTTAGTGTGAAAATGACATGACATGATGTCATACCATGGAAACCTTGCTTCCTTGATGTTGGCAACAACTTATGGTTTCTTTCCCACATTAGGGTTTTTATCCAAAATATTTACCCCTAAGTTTAACGGCGTTCAAATATATAGTCTAAAGCGTGACGCAAGTGTAGATCTATTTATTAAAAAAAAGATTTATTGTAAAAAGTGCCGTGAGTGCTGACATCTTAGGCAACAAAGAAGTGTGTGTTTACGCTTTATTATATTAGTATAGATAACTGTATCCTAATAAACACCACTAAAGTAAAAAGCAATAATATTTCAAAACTAATACATAAACTGCGAAAGTATAGATGGATGCATGTTCGTTACGTTTCTCCATAACGGCTTACCAGATCTCAATTAGGCACAAATGTAGAACATAATCTGAAAAAACACTGCGGTCACTTACTAAGTTTTTTTTTTAATTTCGCGCGCACTAATCCGTGGACAAAGGCTAATATTATAATCTATGCTATAATAGAATTGATAAACAACAAGGAGCAATCACCGTTCATTGCAACTACAAAGAACAATGCGCACCGACTGTAAAGCAACATTGTCGCGTCTATACAACATTTTATGGACCGTAAAATATTATTCGGAGCCCCCGTACGGCCGTAACCTAGGCTATAAAAATATTTCGCCGGCGCGGAGCTCGTAAATTGCTTGATGCTCTCAAAACTTATGATATCAACAAATCAACACTTAATGTGTTTTTAAGATGCGACGCAAATTCATTTATGACTAGTGTTAACAAATTTTATGCGTCTAAAAATTGAGAGCTCAAATATCAGTTTTGTCTAATCACTGTGACAAGTCGGTAACAGTCGAAAGTATTTATTACTATACTTATTGAAGTAATTTTCAACTTGATAGAAACATCCTATTGTAAAATATGTTTAATAAGGTTAACGTGTCCAAATATTTGTCGTAATATTTTTCGATATAATTCCTTATCTTATCTTGAGGTATTAACTTATTTAATGTCATTTACAAATAAATGTTTTATTTACTTTTAAACAAAAAATCATAAAATTGTAAGTACATTTCGTAAACAATCTTTTCAAGGTTGTCACTAGGGAGAAATTGTCGTGCGTAATTCGGGAGAACTTTTTAATACGGGAATACATCGTAAAAAATATCCAGTTCGACCTTCAACTGACTTTGAGATCATGCACCTAAACATACTTTTTTTTTTTAAATGTAAATTTTCTAACTTCGGTCAAAAGGATTCGTATTTCGTAACTACTGATGGCACACAGGATGGCATGGGGTTGATCACTTCTCGCCTAAGTCCAGAATAAATATTTGTATTGATAAGATATAACCAAGCTTAGTCCTTGAACTTACAATCGTTTATAACAGTTTACTTTTGTTTGTTGCAGGTGTCACAGTGCGCATAGTGTTGTGTTTGGTGCAGTGCGTGTGCGTGCCGAGCAAGTGCGTGCGAGTGCGCGTGTAGTGCGTGGTAGTATAGTGCGTGGTGCAGTGCGCGGTCAGCGAGGGCAGCGGTGCGGCGGCGGTGGCGCCCACCAAAGCGTCAAGTCAATGCCGGTGCGCCGATGGACCGGTGATCGCGCCCTGACTACGTCACAACAGCAGCGCTGGTGAGTTCATGCGCATATAATACGTTTGTAAATATTCTTCTTTTTCCATGGCTCTACTTTTGTCTTTTTGGACCTTCGCTTGGTCAAGCAATTTTTTCTACTTCGGTCTATTAGTGGTGTTAGCTATCGATGTCCAATTTATTAGCATAATACGTTTGTAAATAGATAATAGAGTACCATCTCATATATCATGTAGGACTACTACAATACGTGTATTAGTATCGTGTATAGTATCGTACAAAGATTTATGAATATTTCTCGGTAGTATTTGTTAAACGCATGTTTATTAGTAGATACCGATTTCTAAAACTAAACGAAAATGGCAAGATTTTCGTGACGTAAAAGTTCTTTGTATTAGGAAATAAACACTCAGTCGATTTAGGATCACTTTTTAAGGTTTAATTAACATTATAGTCTAGTCTAGACTCTTTATTATTAAGTAATAATAAAGAGAAGAAATTTATCACAACATATCCTTGTTGAATTAAGTCGAAATAATAAAGTTTGCCGTTTTTGGCAGCCTTGAACTTTGCGAGGCCAAATGTAGGGCGGTAAATGTTTGGCCCGCCGACCGAGAACGGTTTATGGCCCTGCGGCATTAGTATCACCCTTATTCTTAATTCACAGGGTGTGAGGAAGGTCGGGGTATATACGGAACAAGAAACTTTCAGACGTTTTATATTGAAATAAATTTGTAGTGGAAAAAATCTGAGGATTTCTAAAAATTTTAGCTAGTTTAAAGAGGAAAGACTGTCGTTGCTGAAAATGTTGTACTAATTATACTTTTAGATATCTGTTTTTTAATTATGCGGATATCAATATTATACACGCACGATGGGGACTCACCGTTGTTGAATAAATTCTTCGATTTCATCAGATTAATATCTTTGACATTGTCATGTCATGCAATGTACGAATTATCTGTGATTACGATTACATAAATCGCATAAACGATTTTTTATCATAGCTAAAATAACACCATTTTGCGATAAGTATAATGACTTTTGGAAAATTGTTTATAATATACCTTTCGTATATAACCCGACGAGACGATGGGGGCATAAACCAGAAAGTGTTAATATTGAATGTGGATGGGTACAAAGGTAAAGGAATACTGAAGAAAGTATGGATGGATTGTGTGAAAGAGGATATGCTTAAGAAAGGTGTGGATTCAGAAATGACGGCTGGTGGAGATGTATGGAAGAGCAGCGCATACTGTGCCGACCCAAAGTAAGGGAAAAGAGCAAGTGATGATGATACCTCTCGTATATTTTGATAATGCAATCTCAAGTTGTAATAGATATGTAAACTAATTATTTTATCACGTTGTTTAACTTATTTAAAGAATTTAATTATAAGTTATAATTACAACAAAAAAGAACATAATGGAAGCTTGTTTGTGTTTACGCTGGATGAATTTCAAAATAAAATAGCGAGAGTATTTGCTACACTTTTATGAAATGGCAGCTTTTTTGCATATTTTATGTAAACTTTCAGTGCAAGCTTTGTTTATAGTACACGAACTTAAGATGTACCTCTTGTTTTACTTTACAAAATAGTAAAGTTTTGTTAATGTGTTTTCATAAAAGGGTATTTGAATTTGAAATATGCACTAAAAGACTGCCAAGTAAACAGTCAATGTAATAGAAGTAAGTACTTTTGTTGAGTGTTTAATTTTTAATTAACACTTTTTGTGTGAAGTGAACAAGATTAACAGTTGTGCCGATATTATTCCCTAATTGCAGCCACTGTTGCCAAGATCAGCGCCATTGTGCAGTTGCCAAAACTGCCATAACTGTGTGTTAACTATTTACGTAATTCCTACTTTATGTTCTCAAATGTAGGTTACATTTTTTAATGTACAAAGATGTTCACGATGTTCTTGTCGTTTCAGTTATCTTTGAATGATTATCATGTAGAGATTTTCAGTAAATGTCTAGTAAGCTAAAACACCAATTTGAGTCCTAGATGTCCTACATTTTTTTAGTATTTAACGAGTTTGGTGTTTAGTTGCATTTATATTTATTTGATTAGCTGCCTCGTCTATAACATCAATAAATCTAAAAAGGAAAATTTGTATTGTGAAAAGTAGTTTTTTTTTTTACTTAAATTAGCAAGTTGTTGCAGACTAGTTGTTGCCAAACTGTACGTTACCAATACTAATGTATTCAGTTTTGTTTCAATAGAAATATGTATTCAGTTTAACATATAGAATGTTTTTATCTTTATGTATTATGAACATAAAAATGTTATACAAGCTATATATACAAGAACGCTAGGTATATAACTCACGTATCACTCACGTGCGAGTTTGCACTGCTCGGTTGAAGGTCGCCTCGGCTGCCGGCAAGATAATGAGAGTCGTTATACTGCCCCAGCGCTATTGCTATTTTGTCTTCATCGTATACGCGTCCCCTCCGCCGAGTCTGTCTACCTTAGGTGTGATTACGCCTTACTTAATCAGGCTCGCCTCGCTTTTAACGACTCTAACTCTAGTCAGCAGGTTGGTCATTACTAATTAGGATATTGCCTCATAAAATAATTACGAAAAAAATTATTGCAACTGTGAACATTGTCATAGAAGTATCCATTTTAACCACTGCACTTACGGCTCTCTCGTATGTCTTGGTGCGATATATTTAGATATGATGGCAACACATTAAGCCGTCTATATCGTGTGGGTGCGATAACGTGCATTGCACAAGTGTATCACAAGCCAGCCGGAGCGGAGCGCGCGCCGCGGCACTGTAATTGTAAACAATTGTCGATAACGGGCCATTGAGCGGCTCGCGTCTTGCGTAACCACACGATAGTTCCGGCCCGCGACTAGCGCGACACGTGTACGAACATACGCCCGTTTTATGTGTAAATTACATGTTATGTGTTGTTTTAGGATTTTCCTAATAATATACACAATTAATTCATCCAATGGTTTATGGGATATTTCTATCTGTTTTTGGCTCTAACTCGGAATGGTTATAGTACTCTAAACAAATACTTGAAAATTTCATTTAACTGAACATATCAATTAAGAAATATAATGGTGTACCGAAATTGTGCTTAGATTTTTTATTTAGTTTATGCTACAGTATCTACATAGTTACTATTAGTGTTTTATGCGGTGAATATTTTTTATTATCATAGACATCAAATAAAAAACAGATCTTTGACACAAGGTAAAGATTCATATTAGCTGTGTGGGGTATAATGCAGTACAGTTGATCACTGACGTATTTAAAATCAAATAATTTCATTGAAAAACAGATTTGTAAATGCTGAGACCATCGTCGTTTACGTCAATTACGTAGAAAGCCGATGTTAAATATGATTTAATGTATGACCGCAGAAAATTTTCTAATGTTATTAATAGTGTGGCCAGTGGGCGACGACCCGTGTGCGAGATGAGTTTATTATTATACGTAAAGGATATATTTTAAATGCACCACGACGTTGCCCGAATGTTTTTACGTTTATATTGTGTGCTTGTAAATAGTTAGTGTAGACGAACTGACTTCAAATTCCTAACAGTTCGACCGTTCAGTTACAACAGTCATTAGGAATTTTGCGTATGTAACTTGGTTTAAGGATATACAAGTTGACTTCTGTACAGCATGCGTCTCTTATAATATCAACAATATTATCCACTGTGTTAGATTTTACTTTACGTTTCAACGTTCGTGTTGCATAGATTGCTCGAATATTTATTAAAGAGTACAAATTTAAGTATCAAGAAGGTACTAAGCTATATTATGAGGCTTTTTAAAATCTATCATTTAATACTTGGTCAAATTTATACAGTTCTGGGTTTGGTATTACATTTCATTATATTTTGTTTTCATGTTTACATTATTAATGCTTTAATTTGTAGTTATTTGTAATGTTTTAAAAACTTGAAATGTTTACAAGTACCATTATATAGATATTACAATCAGCGCAATAAATAAAGCGAACCCACAGACTAGACAAAGACGTTGTTCGCGTAGTGCGGTATCTGCGAGTTTGCCAACTTTATGTCTTTATATTGTTTTGCTCTGGTCGTTATATTTCACTCGGGCGACTCCATGTTATCTGCCCTAACTATTGTTATTGCCCAACGCTAAGTTTTTCCTTTAACAGCAATCGCTAACGACCAGTTTATGTTTTACGATCTCGATGGAAATTTTAGTTTTATATTTTTTGTTTATTATATTTGTAGTGCAAATTTAAATCTCGCTTGTAATATTTTACAAGTATTGAAATTGATTAATATTGAAATATTTTTGTCACAAAATATAAATAATTGATTTTCAATTAAAGTAAATAAATTTCCTTGTACCTCTAATTTGAACGTTGCAAAAAATGTAATAGGGTTAATCAATTTTCATTCCAGTTTTATTATATTTTTTAGAACAGAAATCTTGTTTGACGTCCGTAGAAGATCCTATCAGAGTTTCATAATAATTCGTTTAGTTATTTAAATAAAGCGTTGGTACAAAGAAAAATAAGGGGTTTTAAAGGCCACTCTTAGTTTTAAAAATATCTAACAATATAAATAAGCACATTATATGTTTACTATGTTTTTAAATCACGTAACCTGTGAATCTATGCACGTAAACGTTTATGTAATACGTATATGTGCATGTTATGTATGAGTTGTTTACAGCCACTCGTAAGGTTACAATGTGCCCGCAATTGCTATCAATTCAGACCTGTATTGATTCAAATTGACTTTTGCCACTTCTCATCATTGTTACATTACCCGCGGTTTTATGTAACATTTGAGGATTTTTTTTTACTTTGTTATCTAAATATGAATAATAATAAGTACACTACTATCTACCATCATACAGTGTTTTATGGTGGATTTTTTTCCCCATTGGACGATTGATTGGACTTACCGATCGGCCTAAAAGGAAACACTATTACATACAGGCTATAATCTGCTTGTATTCGTGTAAAGATGCAATATGATTGATATCGTGTCTGTCTGAAGTATTTTTATACTTTAAATAGCATTAATAACGCTTCACACATGAATTAACTAAACGCACATTAACGTCTCGGTACCTTTAACTTATTTATTGTAGCGTATGAAGTCCCGATCTGTCACATATATTTATGCGCAGCCCGTGCCCCGCTTGGCGATCCGCCAGCACGCTTGCTGTGTACGACGACGGTAAATCCCACCCAACAATGTACGCAGTGTACCATTGTGATAAATACTGTTAGCCTATACGGCACTATGTTGCGGTCTTCGAGATATTGTCTTCGGAAATATGCGTAGAATTTACAGTTGTTGAAGAGTGAGGGAATGGAAAGAAAGAAAGTCATATTCTTTTTTGTTTAAGTTGTCAAATAGTAGCGACCATCATAATGATATGTCTGTAGACATCTGTAATCAGTTGTAAGGGTGAGATATGTTCCGTGTAACTTCTGTCCAATTAATATAGACAACAAATTTGTAAATTATTAACTACAACTTCTTAGTCATTTTCTTATAAAAAAAACTTTACAACCTGAATGGAATTTAAACAGTACAATAGGTAAATAAAACCTAAGCATTATAGTAGTGACATTGTAACGAATAGATAGTCTAGATTGACACAAGTGCTAAATAATAGTGTGACAATGTAAGAGCAAGGGGTGACCTCGTGAATATTGACTGTAGTTACTAAATTGCCTCGCCGCGGCACACAAGCACACAACAACATTACGCTAGCCAAATACATTGTATAATATTTGCGTGTTGCAGTATTTACTTACAATACGCTGGTAAATCAACGTGGATAACAATGTTATTTATCAGATTTTGAATGATGGTTGTTTATAAACTTCACCATGATCTTGCAAAGTAGGAATAATCAAAGGCAGATTAAGTAGTGTCTATGTAGGAATTACCTAAATATACATGATGTATTACTACGTTTAATTCATTAAAAGATTTGTTAAATTATTAAGTTAGATAAGAACTTATGAAGCAAAAGTACTATCTAAAATAAGGTAAATTTTTATCTATTACCATTAAATGATGCAAAGACGTGAGAGTAAGATGATCTTTTGAATTTCTCAGCAAATAAGATTATCGTCTTCGCGGCGACACGACAGCGGGGCGTTCGCAAGAATCAGTAATTCCATTACGTCTGTCTTCCGAATTCATTTGCCAGCTATTGACACTGTACATTTTATTCTTATTGGATACATTTTTCAACATAATTCACTTTGATCGAAACACTGAAAGGTAGCCTTTTAAATTGTAAGGAACGCTACGTCGATAAAATTTTGCTCTATTGTATCTAGATTTGACAGAATCATCCGTTCATCAAAGTTAATGGACATGAGTTGATTTTATACATTACAAAATATATTAATTACATAAGATAAAAGTATAAAATTCTTTAAAGATAATTAATGAATAGTATTATTATAAATATAATCAAATATGTGTAGAGACAAGGCGATATCTGTTAGTTTATTAGACGCGTCGCTTTAATCTATTAATAGAGCTAGGTTTGTATTAGTGCTTTGTTATGACTGTGTTATTGATATTGAGTGTTTGTTTGCTCAGCACTAGACACGACGGTCAATTGTTTTGCAAATATTGCAGAAAAATATAACATTTTTACTTAGTTAAACATATTATAATTATGTGCAAGTGCACGCACTTGTGAATTATTTAAATTAACTTAATTATTGTTACATTTGAGTACTGATTAGTAAGTAACCTCCGAAACGTTTAGTGAGTTTCATTATTTGATTGTAGTTAATCGTTGTATTTAAATAATAACCGATTAGATTGAATAACTAGAATATTTATAGACACTTACTGACGTACTCATTGGCTTTAGGCAGTAAGAAGGGAGTCCTTTAGTGGTCCTATTTTTTTTTAAATCGACACAATACTACTCTTTAAGTAATCATCAAAAGTTTGAGTGCATTAGACTTGTAAGACGTACAGGTTTTGTTGATGTGTGTTCTGGGTAGGGTTGTATTTGTATGATTATAGATAATAATTGGTAATTATGTTAATTTCAGGTGACGCGCTGCGGAGCGGCGGTTAAAGCGGCTCTGCCGCTTTAAATGGACAAACGCAAGATGATGCCAAAGAGAGCGCGTATGGACAGCATGCGGGGTCCCATCGCCAATGGACCCTTGCAATCTAGGTGAGTGACTCTCCCAGAGTTGTCATTTTACTAAGATATTTGCGTGCCAAAATTAACTCAATGCTTGAACGTGTTAATCTTTTATAGCTAAAATTACAACGGTCAATCAAAAATGTCACCAACAATAAAAAGTATAGTTTATACGAATATTCACTAACGGTATCTCTGAGACTCCGGGATATAATCCGAATAGAATGTTTATGCAATGTTATTAAATGTGAACCGATCAAGCTATATAGGCAAAAAGATACATAGAGGTAACAAATACACGCAAAAACATTGCCTCCTCATCGCAAATCAACGACGCAAAAAGGTCGAGGAGATATCGCTTCGCACGTGGCGATTGGTGCGTATTTTTTTGAACCGTGTTACATAATATAAAGTGTTGCACCATCGTAAAATATTCAAAGCGATGGCGGACGCACGGATTTATGAGCTCGTATTTTCATATATCGCATTCGACTTCTGTAAATTCTTTATGGAGTTTCTGTCTCTGCGTTGAACGGATGTTGGCCGTTTTGTCTTTTTTATAGTTAAATTAAAACATTGCATTGTGGAAATAAATTAAAATTGTTGTTAGTAAAAAAAAAAGCAAGTGGAATAATGAAGATCGTGGTAAGAATAGAGCTAATAAAATAGCTACGGTAGTTTTTAAATTAATTTTCTAGTAAAAAGATTACTTGTTTCAAGAATGTGAAACATATTTTAGATTATTTGTTTTCGACCGCTAATCTTATTTGCTTTCTATCAAAACTTAGGAATGGCTTCACTTCTTTCTTTGCAGACCCCCCTTTTGTTTCCTCCCCAAATCAGTTGGCAAAGTCTCGCCAAGTTTGTTGGGAATTTGAGGCGAACTCCCTTCGCGCCTCGCCGTATTACTTTCTCGTTCCACGACGAAAGTTTCCACGCTAATAATAATAATTCTACTTTAGTATGAAAGTTTTAAGTTATTAGTTTATTCTCTCTGACTTCGGCCTTAATTATTTTGTGGGAGTGGGTGGATATTATAAACTTTGATTTGAATTTGATACTTTTATAGATGACTAGCTGTTGCCCGCGACTTCGTCTACGCAATATTAGTATAAAATGTAGCCTATAACGTGCCCATCTATGTCAGCTACCATTCAGTGAAAATCCGGTCTAAATCAGTCCGTCTGTTTCGGAGATTACCCGGAACAAACGCTGCTTGCGGACAGACAGATAAAAAATTTTAAATTAGTTATTATCAGTAACGCAAATACGTCATCTTCCCGAAATCTGGATTTTTTCTTTTGATATGATGACAAACAGACACTCCAATTTTATTATATGTATAGTTGGATAAATATACATGTTACAAAATTCGCTTGTATTTCTTAAAAATTAAGAATAACTTTATTTTTCTTATTTGGTTCATATGATGTAAAATTATTTTTGTATGTTAACTATTAATTTATGTTAAAAAATGTAATAAGAGAATGTCGTAATAACTTACAGGCTACGTAATAAAATTGGTGCACAATTTTTCGGTTCCTTTATTCCGTCAGTTTGTAATTATGATGATTAATTAAACGAGGCTTTTCTCTCGCGCTTTTCTCATTAACTTGAAAGCAGCCATTTTACCTTGCGACCGTTTAACAAATTAATTCATTACGTTTTTTAATTATGCTTGCATTTGTTAAAAAGCTGTCTCGTTTTGTAGTAATTTTTATAAAAAATGTCTTTTACTATGTGATGTTTTTGAAATATTATTAAGTGACAAATTCTGTGGTTTTCGTTAAGTTAAGATCTCTAGTTCGCTAGCCTATTCATTTTTTTAACATAAAAATAGAGATAATAATGTTTTCATACATGCTTGTGCTGTAACATTTGAAATTAACTATAAAAATATTAAAACATCGTTAATTTTCTATATAAAAATATATAGACAGCTGAATTAGCTCTTTAATTGTCAACAAATAAATCCAATAAAGAGCTAAATATTACATACATTTCTCAAGCTTAAATCTTATTTATTATATTGTTTTAATATCTTTTACAACAATAAATGAGATGTAATGCAATAAAGTTCACATAAGCGTGCGTTGTATGGATTCATTTAAATACAATATAATGAAAGCGGCGATAGTTCAGTAGTTAAACGTTAAGCTTGTCAAGGTGTTCTATTCTGTTGAACGCATTAGTTTTTAAAATATTTGAGACCTTCTGTTTCTTGTGTACTCCGGATGTTTTATTAACCCTTACGATTTGTTACCTGTTTTTTTTTTGGAACACAGATGAAAACTTAGGATTAATAGTATAAGCGTTTATTTGAATGTTTTCCGTCTTTAGAAAACCGCTGAAAAGTGTTGGCTTAAATCGTTTTTGCAAAGTAATATGAAGCAATGTTTTGTTTCAAACAATCGGCTTAGCGTTGAGATGGGCCGACCTCATTTGCACGGCTTCAGTGACATCTGCTTATGTCACTTTTGATGGTCACACTCTAAAGTTGTGTAAAGTAACATTGTTGATGAATTCCGTATTATCAGAAACAAACTGTGGACATAATCGGCAATTTTTTTCATTAGAGAGAAACATTGGTAGTGGCAGAAAATAAACCTTCATGGTATATTTAAACACTAGCTGTTGCTCGTGACTTCGTCGACGTAAATAATAAAATATGTTCTATGTTACTCACAGATAAATTACCTTTCTAATGGTAAACGAATTTTAAAATAGGGTCAGTAGCTAAAATACAAATCTTTCCTCTTTATAATATTAGTATAGATTACAGTACAGATATAGATGAAGCAGTTTATTAGTATAAATCTTATGATCTGTCCAGCTGCCCTTACGCGGTAAATGTTTTTAATATTTGTTTATTATGATATTGCAGGCCGCTAGTGGCTCTACTAGACGGGCGCGACTGCACAGTCGAAATGCCCATCCTGAAGGACGTGGCGACAGTGGCGTTCTGCGACGCGCAGTCCACCTCGGAGATCCACGAGAAGGTGCTCAACGAGGCGGTGGGTGCACTAATGTGGCACACCATCATCCTTACCAAGGAGGATCTGGAGAAATTCAAGGCGTTACGTATTATCGTCCGCATCGGATCGGGCGTCGATAATATTGATGTCAAAGCAGCGGGAGAATTGGGTGAGTTGTTTTTTAATTCCTTCAAATTTATAATTTACAAGCTTTCGCGCGCGACTCCGTCCGCGTGGGATTTAAAAACAACAAAATTGAGTAGCCTATATGTTCTTCCAGAGTATCCTCTATGGCTATGCCAAATTTCACCGAGATCCGTTCAGACGTTTAGGCTACAAACTATAACAAACATCCATCCATCTAAACTTTCGCATTTATAATATTAGTAAGATTAAATGAGTCCAATATGTTGTTAGGTATCCAAGTATGTAGATTGTTAAGTGAATATATGACGTGATGATAGAATTCTTGTAATTTTCATTGTCAAGCCTTTTATCCTATAATTTTGTTTTTACTATGTTTTATAAATTCATTTGTAGTTAACGACTTGACTGTACATTGCAGGTATAGCGGTGTGCAACGTGCCGGGCTACGGCGTGGAGGAGGTGGCCGACACAACGCTGTGCCTCATCCTCAACCTGTACCGGCGGACCTACTGGCTCGCCAATATGGTCCGCGAGGGCAAGAAATTCACAGGTACGTCCGTGGTTGGTTTTTTTTATAATATAAGGTAACAAACAAGCAAGCGGCCACCTCAATCCGCTAAAATGGCGAAGCGACCGCAACCCACAGATATCCGAAATTGCAGATGTGTTGCGTACCCTTAATGGACGGAGAAGATGCGCATAAAGAGGATATTTCCCCTTCCTAAGCGTCTCCTCTGCCGTCAAATCCATTTTCTCTTCCTTACTAGGAAAGGGTGGTTAGAAAAAGGGACTTTAATTAAGCCTCCGGCACCACACTGATTGTAGTGATAATGAAGTATATTTATTTGCTTGATTATTTTATTGTAGAAAAATGTAACAAAACTTCGTCAGCTGCTTGTTCTTGTTCTTGCCATTCCGCGCACAATAACTGCGCCGTGCAGCAGTTATTTCATCTGAGAATGAATGCCCTTTGTTTTCGTGGTCGTTGTTCCACCTGCCTCCACATTTGTGTCTACTGCAGACTACATTGAAATGTTACCCTAATCACTACATCTTTAATACAATATCTATTTACAGAATGTTTACAGAAAGTTTTACAGAATTAAAAGATGTGGTTTATGTTTAATATGTAGTTTTCTTTTAGGATATTGTTTTCTCTTGAAAGTGAGGATTCTTACATCTGATTACCTTTTAAATTGTCATAATTTATGTAGTCATTGTAACTTAGTTTGTATAAAGTTTGTCTCTATTTCCAAGTTTCAATGCTTCAATATCGTTTGTGGCTTTAAATGGAATTGAATTTTAGTTACTTCAATCTTAGTTTAGTAATTTTTATATAAAATGCGCCTGGTCTGTATGACTAGTATGGTATATGTGTTCTCAACGTGTTGCAGGTCCGGAGCAGGTGCGCGAGGCGGCGACGGGGTGCGCGCGAATCCGCGGCGACACGCTGGGCATCGTGGGCCTCGGCCGTATCGGCTCGGCGGTGGCGTTGCGCGCGAAAGCCTTCGGCTTCAACGTCATCTTCTACGACCCCTACCTGCCCGACGGCATTGAAAAGTCCCTCGGTCTAACCAGGGTCTACACGCTGCAGGTATACCTTACACCACACTACTGTGCACTACATGCAGAGCATCGTATGTATTAAGGTTCAATTTAATTGGAATTAGAAATTATATATTTGACAATGTCATTTATTTTTGGACTAATTTGGTGTTTAAAATTTTGCTACAAACACGTCTAAGTCTGTGATTTATAGCTTTAAATCTGTTAAGATTGTTTTGTTATAATTTATTTTCTATTGAACTAAATTGTAAAGAAAACCTAGAAATAGAAGAGTAGGAATATTTTTTTGAAATGAAGGATAATATATAAAACCTAAATGTCGATTTGAATATATCAGTAGCAATTAGATATTTTATTTTATGGTGTTGCCAGGGTTTATTACTATTTTAAATGAAATGTTTTTTTAATCTTTTTTTTCTTACTGAAAGTCACTGATTTTTCGCTAGATCGCAGATTGCACGGAAAGAGTTATCTTATGTCCTAACTGTATTAAATGTCTTATTTAATTATAATCCAAAAGGTTGTGTGTTACAGGACCTCCTATTCCAGAGTGATTGTGTGTCATTGCACTGCAGCCTAAACGAACACAATCACCACCTCATCAACGAGTTCACTATCAAACAGATGCGTCCAGGTATATTAGACAACTATTGTTTATAACATTAGTAGTACAATATAATGGTTCCACTGTAAACCAAGTAGTTTTAATAAAGATAGAGAATAGAGGAAGCACAGTTGACACTTCACTTGAGACATTTTTCACATGATCTTCAGTAATGCTATTGATTAAAATATATCTTCAAAACACATGTCAATATTTTTCTATTTAAATGAATAGTTATATTTAAATGAATTACCAATGGTGTCAATTTATTAAATGTTTATATTTTATTTCGTTACATTGTTTAGTTTATTTTTCAACTAAAGATGGAGCAATTCAACTAAAGGAGAAGATTATTTTGAAAAATATCTTATTACATGTCAATACAAAGACATGAGGTGGCACTAAACTTAACAACTAACATAGTATCTTTTAAAGTAGTTAACGGTGAAAACAGGTATAGCCTATGTATTTCTTAAATGTCTGCTGTAAACATTGTCATACAGGTAATTAAAATAGTTGTTGTAGTACAAGTGTGTGTAATGTGTGTCCAGGCGCGTTCCTGGTGAACACGGCGCGCGGCGGGCTGGTGGACGACGAGGGGCTCGCCACCGCGCTCAAGCAGGGCCGCATCCGCGCCGCCGCGCTCGACGTGCACGAGAACGAGCCCTTCAACGTGTTCCAGGTAACGCATACTTAATACTAGGACACTTTTTCTTCTCAATATCTGTAACAAACTAGCGTTTTTGTAATTTTACTAATGTTATAATTATGAAAGTTTAGTTGGCTGGATTTTTATTGGAGTTTGTAACTTAAACTGCAGAACGAATCTAAATAAATTTCGGGATAGATGTAGAGGGATAATCGGGAAGAACACCCGCTTTTGCTTTTTCTTTTAACCGTGCAAACGCAGTTACGGGCGAAAGCTAATAAAATATATATAAGAGAATGGTCTGGCTAAAGGTTTTATACTTTTCATATTCTGTTTGCAGTATTATTGAATCTTTACACTGTCAATTTGTGGTTAGGGTCCGCTGAAGGAGGCGCCGAACGTGCTGTGCACGCCGCACGCCGCGTTCTACTCGGACGCGTCGGCGCAGGAGCTGCGCGAGATGGCGGCCTCGGAGATCCGGCGCGCGATCGTCGGCCGCATCCCGGAGTGCCTGCGCAACTGCGTCAACAAGGACTACTTCCTGTCGGGCGGCGCGGGGCCCGTGCTCAGCGCGCCCGCGCCGCCTCTCGCCGCGCCCGCGCCCTACGGCGACGCCGTCAACGGCGGCTACTACGGCGGCGCGCAGGCCGCGCACTCCACCACCGTGCACGAGCCGCCCGCGCTGCCGCCGCAGCCCGCGCCGCCGCCGCCGCAGCCCCCGCAGCCGCCCATCTCCCTGGTCGGTACCCCCTCTCCCCTCGCCTCACCACCAGAGACAGGAACAAAGGGTTCCGAGTTCCTTGCCGCTTCGAATTATACACAACGTTTAGTTGTGTATAAAGGAATGATTAAATACTCACTCATTTAATGGTCAGAAAAAGAGTAAAATATACATTTTATACTATTTTTCTTTTTGAAAAGTTATCTTGTTGAGTTTAGAATTTTATGATGTGATATTTAATGTGTTAATGTAATGTTGCAGCCCATCAACACTTCGGACCCGCTGAAGCAGGAGAGCTCCGACGTGCACTAGGCGCGGCGGGGGGCGGGGGGCGCGCTACGTTACAGTACCGCGACACAGACAAACAATAGTTTTATTGATTCCATCGCAACTATGTCATAAGTACCGTATGTCGTAAGCCGGCGAGTGACACCAGCGGCGGCGTTTGCTACTACTGCAAGGAACATTCGTAGACAGTGGATATCGAGAGCTTGTGTCACATGGACGTGTGTCAGTGCAAACGTCGCGTTTGAAGAATTAT